CATTTGTAGGTGATATTGCATTTTTCCCAAGCTGTTCTCAGAATTCTTTCTTTGTCTTTGGTTTTGGAAAGTTTGATTATGATATATCTTGGTGACTTTCTTTTAGAATCTATCCTGTATAGGGTTCTTTAAGCTTCTTGAATGGAAATTTTCTTGTCTTTCATGATATTAGGGAAGTTTTCTGCCAGCAAATCTTCAAAAATATTTTCTATGCTTCCTTTTTGTCTCCTTCTGTCCTGAAATTCCAATCACAGGTAAATTTTTCCTCTTAATAGTGTCCCACACAACTCTTAGGCTTTCTTCATTTTTCTTCATTCTTTTTCTGATTGCTCCTCAAACAAATTAGTATCAAGGGATTTGTCCTCTACTTTACTGATTCTTTTTTCCATTGATTCAATTCTATTTCTATGTCCTTCCAATGAATTATCTGTTTCTGATATTTTATTGTTAATCTTCTAGATGTCTAGTTGCTGTGTTTGTATGGTTTCTAATTTTCTCTTTATTTTGTCATTTTATTCTTGTATTGTTTTCCTGAATTATTCTAGAGCTTTGTTTGTGTTTTCCTTGGTCTCTTTGAAAATCCTATATATAAGTCTTTTGAATTCCTAATCAGGTAGTTCTATTACCACTCCTCCCTCAAGAAGGATTTTTTTGCCCTTTTATTTTGGTCACTTGCTTGAGCCATCTTGTCCTGTTTCTTTATATGATTTGATATTGTCTGTTGTCTCCAAGGTATTAAGATGTTATTTTATTGATTGACTGCATATTTGTTTGCTTCATCATTATTTTTTGTTATGTTTTGTTTTGATATATCTGCGCAGGCAGGTTGGGTTTGTTCTGCTGGTCGCTAGTCTGGTGGCAAGGAAGTGCTCACCACCTGTCTCCAGGTGGGCAGGTCAGCGACTGACATGTGAGTGGGTCTCTCTTCACTGGTCTTGTGGGGAGGCTAAGGGTAGGCTGGGTGGGCGTTGTCCATTGCCTGTTGTGGGTCCAGTGGTGCAGAAGTGGGTGATGGCCCTCACGGAGTGGGCGGTGCAGTGGATAAGGTGTGTGTGGTGGTTGAGCCAGACTGTGGGAGTGCACTGTCCTCCATTTGCCATGTCAGTGGGTAGGGGTGGGCGATGGTCAAGTAGCGGTGTGGAAATGCACTTTCCTCTGCTCAATGGGTTGGCATGGATGGCCTGTGTGTGTGCCCACAGGAGTGTGCTCTCTGCCTCTTCCCAGGTTGGCTGATAGAGGTAGATGGCAGGTGAGCGGGGCACAGAACAGTGCTCTCCTCCACTCACTGGGTCAGCAGGCAGGGACATGTACAGGGTGAGTGAGAGCTTGGGAACACATTTTCTACTGCTCTTTGGGTGTAACGGGGGATGGCAGATGAGGCTGGGTGGGGAAGAATGGGGTGGCTCATAATATGGTTCCCTGGTGGGCAGGGTGGCAGGAGTATGGGGTTTTCCACCCCTAAGGATCAGGAGGCTGGGGGTATAAGGAACATGCTTCTCTAGTCACCAGATGTGGGTGTCTGGGTACTTCCCACTGGCTGCAGCAAGCAGCAGGACCTGGCCCTGACCAAGTGCTAGGATGGGAAGGCTGCCCAGATTCCAGTCAGGTGTGGACTTCCCTCTGACAGTCTGTGGATCTATTACTTCATGTGTGCTACTCATCCTAATGGCCATGAACCACTTTTGGTACTCTGGATCATGACTCCCTCCCTACTCTGTGGATGCTGGAATCCCCGGAGCCTTAGATCTAGGTCTCGTTCCACTCACCTTACTTCATTTCAGGTGTGTCTACACAGTTTCTCTGTCTCTTGTTGGGAATTCTGTGAAGTTGCCTTCCTGTGCTCCTCACCCAGAGTCACTACTGGCTTTGTCTCAAGATAGCCATACTGTGCTGGGGTGGCTGGCAGGGCACCTCCACTCTGTATCACTCCTTGTTAGCTGCATTCACTCAATTTCTTCTTCCAACTGGTGTTTGATTCAATTTTTTATCCTTCCTTTTGATGTTCACGGTTTCCAGGATTGTCATCGACATCTGTTTCCCTTGGTTTCTCAGGTCTTTGCCATAGAGGGATGGTATGGTAGGTCTGACTAAGCTGCCATCTTGGCTCCTCCCCCTCTGAATGCAGTTCTTGTTTAAATAACAATCAACTGATATATATACAATGTCTCATTTTAATGTTTAAAAAGTAATTTTGCCTTCTTGGGAATATCAGTTACATTTCCAAAACACTGTTAGCTATGATGGTTTGCAGAAGTATGTGCAATTATCCTGAATATTGATATATGAAAGTGCAATTTTCTTGAACCCTTGGCTTTGTTCAAAAAAATGAATGGTCCTACATAATTATGACCAGGTGTGTTGAATTACATTAACATTTTTCTCCCAATCTGTGCCATTATATATGAAAGCATCTGTCGCCCCACATTCCCTTGGAAATTACTGACAGATCTGTCTTATATTACATTTTTGACTATTTTACATTATCTGAAAATGTATTTTAGTTTTTTTCCACATTTTTATGCCCATTTCAGAGTATTATTTTGATGATTTTTCTAACTTATAAAAATTCTATTTAAAAATATCAAAATCTACTTGTTTGATAAATACTGTTTAAAAATAATCCGGTAATATTTATGTATACTAATAAATTGTGATTTTTATTTTCTCTGTGTGTAAAGAAATATGAAGCTCTGGTGGTGCAGTGGTTAAAAGCTAGGGCTGCTAACCAAAAGATTGGTAGTTTGAATCCACCAGATGATCCTTGGAAACTCTGTGGGGGCAGTTCTACCTGGTCCTGTAGGGTCGCATAATATGTATATTTGTATATGTATAAATAAAAAGAAAATCCTCACAACTGGACTGATAAACAACACAATGACAAATGGTGAAGAAAATGACGTTGTCAAGAAATTGAAGTAGAATTGTTCATTCTACTTGGATCAGCAATCAATGCCCATGGAAGCAGCAGTCAAGATCTCAAACAACATACCGCACTGGGAAAATCTGCGGCAAAAGATGTCTTTAAAGTGTTAAAAAGCAAAGATCTCACTTTGACGACTACACTGTGCTGACCCAAGTCATGGTCTTTTTGCTTCATATGCATTAAAAGCTGGACAACAAAAAAGGAAGATCAAAGTAGAATTGAGGTAATTGAATTATAACATTGGTGAAGAATACTGAATATACCATAGACTGTCAGAACAGCAAACAAATTCATCTTGGAGAAAGTAGAGCCAGACTGCTCCTAGGAAGCGAGGATGATGAAACTTCATCTTGTTAACATTGGATGTGTCATCAGAAAAGACCAGTCGCTAGAAAAGGGCATCGTGCTTGGTAAAGTAAAAGGTCAGTGAAAATGACAGAGACTCTCCATGAGATGGAATGACACAGTGGCTGCAACAATGGGCTCAAACATACCAAATATTGTGAGGACGGCGTAGAACCAGGCAATATTTCCTTCTGATATACATAAGGTCATTGTGAGTCAGATGCAACTCGACGGGAACTAACAACAACCAAAGACATTCTCTAACTTTGGTTTTTCAGTAAGAGAGGCATTTTTAAGCTGAACTCCTCTAACAAAAACAACAAGGAATTAGGAGATTAAAAAATCACAATAGAGGGACAGGGTAAAAAAGGAAGGGTTTATATTTGTTATATGTAAACTATTGATCTAAAATATTTAATTCTATTTCATCCTTCAGAACAGTTAAAACTTATTAGCTTTAATTACAATATGTTGTATTTATTGCCTCAAACTGTAAGGTAACATGTCTTGTTTTAGATCAACAACGTTTAATACAGTAGGATTTTTACTTATCCCATTGAAATCATAGTAAAATTAAGTGTTGAAACAACTGATTGGAAAAAATACATATTAAGTAACATTTTGAATATTCTGGTAAAATTTCTAACGTCTTGGTAGAACCTATGTATAACTCAAAATCACAGTTAGGTTTGTCTTCTCATCCAGACTAAAACGTGGTCAGAGTCCTGGCAAAAGAGAAAGTATCAGATACTCCTGCCCTAGTGCTTTCTGATTCTGCTTCCAGATTTCCAACTTCTTTTTTTTTTTTTCAGGTTATCCACACCAAGAAAATCATTGAATTTGATAATTGATTGGAACTTTACCGAATTTTAGTTTCGAAGTAACTCGCATCTTTCAGAAACTTAAATAAATTCATCATCCTCAGTAGGCCTTGGGCAACTATGTCCTGCAGATGCAGAGCTAGGAATTCAGTGACATATGAGACTGGGTGCCGTCTTCATGATGCTTATAAACTAATCGAAAAAAAAAGTGTATGCAGAATGGCAATTTGTGTAGTAAATTGCTTTTAATTATACCAAAATTAATGCCTAGTTGACCTTTGGCTTCTCAGATTATTTCACAATGAAAAACAGCAATGTAAGATTTCTTTTGATAGTTTCCATAAGAAATCTGATAAAGTTGTGATTTGAATCTTACTTTAAATTTGCTCTGTGGTTGCATTCAGCATAGGATTACTTAGGATGAAATCTTTATTTCTTTCCAGCGTTAAGACTTTCTCTCACATCCCAGAGCTTTAAATACTAGCCGATGACTGAAACACGTCACAACTAAAACTGACTAAATTCCCAAAGCTGTTCAGACAATCCGTCTAAACCTTAATTATGTTCTCCACAGAAGTAATTTTAAGGCAGATAATTTATCCTATTTATATTAGATATGAATAGAGAAAATGTACATCCCCAAGAGCCCAACATTTCGGCAAACATCTTAACCTGTTTCTGATACAAAATAAGATAAACTAATTCTTTCTTTAGAGGGAGTGTTAAAAGGAATCATTAAGGAATTCCATAAGTGAGCAGAGTAAGCACTACGATATATAGATCTGTTTGGGGAGATATGAGACAAAGCCACGTTTTCACAGTTATCTGATAATAGAATGGGTGAATGGCAGTATGTGATATACTAAGGCTTTGCATTTGACATAGCTTTTTTCTCCCTCTGTCATCTTCAGCTGTAAGCACAAGATGTATCTGGAAAGATTGCCAAACACCAGCATCATTATCCCATTTCATAATGAAGGTTGGACTTCCCTTCTGCGGACCATACACAGCATAATTAACCGAACCCCAGAGAGTCTGATAGCAGAAATCATTCTAGTAGACGACTTCAGTGATAGAGGTAAGAGCTAGTTTTATCTGATTCTGTTATTGCCCACATAATCATTCAGGCCTTAAGAAAAAGGAAGACAAGAAAAGGCAGAAGCCTATTGTGATGGTTTCCTTCTGATTTCATCTGAAAGACAAAGTTACGAAGTTTTGTCTATGTTGTGATTTCATGAATTGTTGGCCAAATTCAAGAGAAAGTGAAGGGCAAATGGTCGGCGTCCTGTGGAAAACTATAAGTAGTTTATATTACATAGCTGTTGTAAATTAGACAGGTTTGAGCAAAATGCCTCAAATTCTACTTTTGGCTTCAGGACAAACACTGCAAATAATACAATTGCTAGTATATATGAATGGTGAAATATTCAAATAATACTATGAAATCCATGTATGGTCCTGAAAAATATCTACTGTATTATTTTCCAGTATGATACTTTCTCCAGGCTGTGTTTGTGTTACCTCATAAATATTAGAAATTGTAAAGAACACAAGCATATAATTTTACCTGGTGATTCTTATTATTTTATCATATCTGAACAATAAGAAAAACCGGTGTAACAGTATATTACAAATTTTACATAAGTTTTAATTTTTTATTACTCTGATACAAATACAATTTGGTTCATAAAACACGGGAATAAAATTACAGAAAATTTTATATGTCATATTTGGTGTAACTGTGGGAGTTGATAATGTGTCAAGGAGAGTAAAGTCTTTCTCACTTAGCTAGTGTGAGTAAAGACGTGAGAACTTCCTCTAATTCTATCCACCTATTTGGGAATATAATTTTCTACCTTATATTTTATTGCATGAAGGGGCACTGCTTAAGTCTATGGTATATTTCCAAGAAAGAATGGCAGCAAAATACTTTGATTGCATATGATTCTTACACATCAAAAGCGGATCCTTCTTGAGATCATAGGGGTTAATTGAAATTGTGGAAGTTCCATTTGCAGCAAAAACTTCATTTTCTTCATGGTATTCAAAACTTCTTTAAAAATAAGCATGCCTAGTGTGTTAATTTTGAGGTTTCTTTGACTGAATTCTTGTCTTCAGTGACTCATTTTAGATACTGATTCAGCGGTTGCCTTATATTAATACGTGATGGGGCTTATAAGACAAAAATGAGGTTGTCCAACACTATCCTATTAAAATAGAAAGTTACCAACTCGGTAATTTGATTTTGATTTCAAAGGGTTTTTGCCTTTTCTAATTAGGTAGGCATATATTAGTATTACTTAAAATGAGCCCAGTATGTAAATCAGAAATTTTTGGCAATTAAAAAAATAATAGCACATTAATTTTCTTTTGATTCTTACTAAGGGTTCTTATTGAACAGTAGCCATAATTACCACAGGCAAAAATAGGTATTTAATGTGTTAATAAAGCTAAAACTTTTCTGTCAAAAAGTGAAAGAATAAAAAGTAGGACAGCAAATTGCCAAGTAAATGATTTTTTTTTTTTTTGGTTGACTGGTACTAGAAGGGATAAGGTAGAACATCTTTGGATAACTTTGTCTTTATAAGCTATTTATCACAGCAGAATTTTGGTCTGGGGGCAACATAGGAAACACTTGGTAGGAGAAAAATGAAGCGTGTAGAGCATTTTTTGTTGAATACATCTGAGAAGTATTTTTCAATGGACAGTCTTTGAAGAGGCAGAAAAATAGTGGCACCTACATTTATCTTGGTTTCAAATCACTGTCATCTTCCCTATAGTAGCGACTTTGATGGACTATCCTTCTGCATATAATATTAGCTAGGAAGTAGCATGTCCCAGAAGACTGTCAATGTGGTTAGTGTTAGTGAAGTTAAAAAAAAGAAAAGAAAAGAAACTGTTATGTGGGATCGTAATTGTGATTTTTGACTTTCCTATTGGACAATTTTAAGGACAAAAATTATTGTAATAATTTCATTGAGATACTCTAACTTTCACTGAGATATTCTATTCCTATAGACTATCAAGTTGAAAGTATCATTTTACAGTCATTAACTTCGAAAATAAATTCCTGAATATCACTTTTTATTATTCTTAATCTGACAATATGTGCAAAAGTAAACTTTGAAAGAAAAAAATGATAAAAGTACTTCTAGAATCTTTTACAGTGCAATGTCATTGTAAACCTACCAGCAATAAGAAAGGCTCTTCTTCCTAACTCTTGTTTTCGATTACAAAATCCCAACTGATAAACATTCTTTGGTGCATATTAGGGTTTAGGTGGACACAAGGAACATCACTCTTGCTTTCTGAATTCTGGACAATATGGACAATTAACATAACTAACACAAGCCAGAATCCCAACACCACTGTTATCAGTATGCCATTGGGTAAATCAGCTTCTCTGTGTTCAAAATGGGTGACTGAGTGGTTTGACAGAGTCCTCAAGGATGGTTAAACAGGTTGTGCACGGCACAGCCCTGGAGAGCCATAGCTCTCGACCACTGGCTTCTGCTCACCAAATTACTATGATGCAAATAGTCTCTCTATATTTTTGAGGAGATACGCGTAATTTAATCAAACCTAATCCATACGATCTATCATCTATCTATCTATCTATCTATCTATCTATCTGTCTGTTTGTCCATCTATCTATCGTCATCTCCAGAAACAACAGAAGTGGACTAGAGGGCATGTAAAGGCTTATCAAGGTAATTCACAGCATGTTGGAAAAATTAAGACTGCTTTGACATAAAGCAATAAGAAGGTAATTTACTCCAGAAATTGGAAAAAAATAAAATTCTAAGAGTTTGTTTAATTAAAAGGAAGACAAATAGATCCTGTTACCTCCCCAGATTGTATGAGTGGCCTTACATGACATGTATCAGAATCCTTTTCAAGATTATTTTCACTCTTACAAGAGAAGGCAAATGTCCCAAGGCACCACTTGTTTACAGATGTACCAGTATCCCGAGGGCCTCTGAGAGAGAGGAGCTTTTTCTGTTCCTTTGAATTCTCCTGTTCATAGAGCCGTGCAATTCAAAGCCGTAATTATAACCAGTATTTTTTTTTTTTTTTTAGAAAATTCCAGAAATCATAAGCCTGGCAAGTGTAGGGTCCTTTTCATCCAGCCTTTAAAAATCAGATTGAGTAGACTAGACAAAAACTAAAGTGCAGGAAGACATAGGGCTTCGTATGTATTGACTTCCCTTCTGAAATATATGAAAGCTATTTTGGCTTGCTTTATGACATTATTTCTGAAGTGTTACACTTTATATTTATGCTCAGAAATACATTCTAATTCCAATTCTGTTCAGGGTGCATCTTCACACTTTTGAAATTTGCACGATAGCTATTATGGATATTCTTTGGCCGAATCAATAAAATTCTGACACGACTTAAGCAAGTATTACTACCATCTATTTCATGTCCTCTAGAGCAATAGACTAGGTGGATGTGACGCACACACACACAGCCATGACAGTAAAGCCAATGTTTTCGCCACACTATTAGTGCAAGTATGAGAGCATTTAGAATTCATCTTTACAACAAATAAGTGTTAGAGTGATTGGCAGATTCTGTAATAGTAGGTTTCATGGCAACAAGGAAAGAAAAATACTAAAATATTTTGTAACTATAAAATAATTCTAAATCACTGCAAAGTGACTTTTAAAAATCTGCTTCAGTAAGATTGACCCAGTTATCAAAAATGTTTAAAATAGAGCTGCAAAAAAGTGAATGTTCTATTTCTAGCAGGTCTTCATTTAGACAGTCTTCGTAAAGTCAACTTGGTGAACAAAATGTCATTTTAGCCTCAGAACATAAGCTTAACTTTCAATGAAAACTTAAAGTCACAAGCCTGCAGGTAAGTTTTCAGTGACAACACCGTGTTTTTGCTATCTGAAACTTACTGCAGTTAGCGAATGTGACTTTTTTTTTCCAGTAAGCTCTCAGAAATACATTTAACAACTTAACTTGAAGCCTATAACAAGGTTTCATGACTTTAAAGCAAGACTAATCCTGGGCTTATCTTCAAATTCCAGGCAACTAACGGCATCCACATAGAAAATGTTGAAATGTGTGAAATAAGCTGGGGCTCAACCTCAGAGACAGGATATATTTGAAACTTGACAATTCTCTAAACTTTGTATGCTTAAAACAAAACAAAACTCAAAAACAAATCCATTGCTGTCAAGTCGATTCTGACTCATAGGGATCCCATAGGACAGAGTAGAACTGCCCCACAGAGTTTCCAAGACTGTAACTTTATGGAAGCAGAGTACCACATCTTTCTCCCGGGGAGCACCTGGTGGGTTCGAACTGTAGACTTTTTGGTTTGCAGCTGAGCACTTTAACCACTGTGCCAGTAGGGCTTTTTGTACGCTTAACCAAACCAAACCCATTGCCGTTAAGTCAATTCCGACTCATAGTGACCCTATAGGACAGAGTAGAACTTCCCCATGGGGTTTCCAAGGAGCAGCTGGTAGATTTGAAACACACACCTTTTGACTGGCAACCAAGCTCTTAACCACTGCATCACTGGAACTCCTTTGTATGCTTAGATGAATGTAATTTCAAATTGAGAATAGTGACGGGAGAGTTGTTGGCACACTTTATCCTTAATGCAAATATGGTGGTGCTACCTAGCCCCAGAATACTTGCAAACACACACACACACACACACACACACACAGCCACACATATACACTCACTCATTCTTACCTCTACTTGTTCAAATGTCCTGGAGAGGAAAGGTACACAGTTAAGTTCTTAAGTTTCACAAAGACTTACTATGTACCATGGACTAGTTAGAAAGAAAATGCAGAGAATTGAAGTTTTCTTCCCAAACCAGCAAAGCTAGCAACTTTAAAGACATTTAGCTGTTTTCCTCAGCTCTTTCAAGATTGTCAAAATAGCACAGACTGTTGCTACTCAGGCGTTCCCGGGTGTTACAAGTGGTTGGCACACTCAGCACTAACCAAAATATTGGTGATGTGAGTCTACCCAGCGTCACATGCCTGAGAAGAAAGGCCTGGTGATCTACTTCTGAAAAATCAGTCACTGAAAACTCTATGAAGC